TCGGTTGTGTGAGCTGGTCAGCTCCACTCTACTGGAGACTTTCCACTTCTTTTGGAGGACCTCCATCTCCCTCTGGAGGTCGTCCAAAAGGAGTGGAAAATCTGATCAGCCCGCAGGTCAGGGGTGTGCCCTGGAGAAATCTGGGATTCATCTGAAACACACCAAACGGTTGCATTCTATTTCAAACCGCCCAGAACGGTTGCATTCCATCCCAAACCGTTAAGAACGGTTGCATTCTACCCAAACCGTCCAGAACGGTTGCATTCCATTTCAAACTGCAGCCGCGGTCAAATATCGAGTGATAGTTCTCTAATGTTGGTTGATTAGAGTCGCAAGTCTAAACTTGATACAGTTCGTCAACTTTCAAATGAATTAAACCGAGTTAACATATCTGCCATAAAGAAGGAATGAAGCTCAACAGATTTCACAGTACCAGACGTTTTCTATTCTAGGGATAGGAAACATCTATTTGAACAACAACAAAAAAAGAGTTTGTAAAACGCATCAGTCCAAATCTGGTAAATCAATAGCGATAGTTTGTTTTGTATGTTCATTCGATATAGAAAAAACTTCTATTACTCACAGTTTGACAGAAAAACTATCAGCAGGGAGTACATATCAAACTTGCTGACAGAACATCATTGTACTCACAAATTAATTTTTTATCTCAAAAATAATGTAAAACAGATGAATTACACACACACACACACGGAGGAGCCATCTGTATCAATAATACGCAGAAAATTGTGGAATTTTATTCAATTTTTTCAAAGTTTAAAACCTATTGATATACAATTCTCCGAGAGTCAAGAGTCTCAGATTGAATTACAAATCTTCTTTTTACGCTTCTTCTAGGAGGAATCAACTCCCAACTTATGTTTTCTTCACATATTCCACAAATTTATGAATAATGACGTTCGTGCTTTTAATAAGTTCCACTTGACAAGAAATAACAGAAAAACAAGCTTTACTTCTCCTAGACCTCATTTCACTATCACAACCTTGTTGTCTTACTCTTCCTACTCTCACTCTTCCTCTCTCTCTTTCTCTCTCTCTCTCTCTCTATCTCTCTTTCTCACTTTGCTGGCTAGGCATCTTTTCTTTAGCCAGTCCGACAAACAAGACTTTTGACAGAAAAAACTGATTTTTTTCATTTACAACGTTGCTCTAATCAATAAATACAATTCTTGGCACTCGAGCCTTTTGTTTTCTAAAGTACACAGAATGTTTCGGAGAGTTTTTGAGAGAAAAAAGAAAGAAAAAATTAAATTTCAAACAATCACATATTCGCTTTGAGATTTATTCGCACGTCAACATAATGAAGAGGAGTCAAGTCATTATTCCTCTGCTTCACAATTAACGACTGTTTTTGTGATCCCAGATTGCATTCCTCTCTTTCCTTCTCATTCCTTTCTTCTGAACCATGTTCCACTCAAGAGTTGTGCCGCGTTTTAATTTGATTGTCAGAAGGTTCAATTCAGTTATCATTCTCTTTATATTCAATGATTCATACAATTAATTTACTCCTCCCAACAATGACTTCACTCCAAATCTGATTTACCTTTTTGAGAAAGTGAATGGCGTGAGAATTATATTTTTTTGCTAACGAATGAATGCTTGAGGAGCCATTTTATCTCTCCTTCTTCTTCTCTTTTTATCTTCTTTCTTCGAACATGCCTACCTCATTTTGCTTCAGCTTTACGTCTTCTTTCAAATTACATTCGTTCCAAAGGACACTTTTCCCTTTCGTTTTGCTTTCCCTCAAACTTCCAACTGCTCTTCTCCTTCTTCTCCTTCTTCTCTTTGCATTTTTACGTAATATTCATGGAAATGACTGAAAAAATTGCTCTTCTTGCCAACTCTCATAGACCTCTTTACTCTTCCAACACATTTTTGCTTTCTATTCAATGAAGAAAAAGTAGTCTATTTGCCCTTTCCTTTCACCTGTATTATATGTTTACTGACCGTTCAATCCAATATGTCATCTATTATTACTTGTGTTTAGCAGCCATTAAGCATTCAATTCTAAAAATAGAATGCCAGCCCTCTGCCTTTGCTTTTACTTGTCAACTGCAGCTAAACGTCGTCAGTATTCTCTGAAGCAGATCCGGTAACAGAATCTTCTATAAGCGGATGAGAAGCTTCATGTTTCTTTTTATTTTCCGAAATTATTTCGAATCAATAGTTTTTTCTCTTTTTTTTTGATCTTTTTTTCCCTCTTATTGAGGACAGCGGTGTATTCAAGCATCACTTGCAAGCACTAGTTGAAGCCCAAAAAACACAACCAACTCACAGCTTTTACTTTTTTTTTGATATCTCGTGCTTTTTTTCACGGTTATTTGATTCTATTGAACTCATCTGGAGCTCTTTAAGAAAATTGAACTGAGAGGAAAAATAACTGGACACAGCTTGACACCCATGTGTACGAACATATATGAATAGCGACCAGCTTTCCCGACCACAGATCGTACTAGAGAGTCCCCTCTTGCAAGCTTTCCATCCATATTTGGCAAGGATTACACTCTCTCTTAATGCATTTAAGAGAAAACTAGTGGATGTTTTAGATATTTTTTGAGTATAATCTTAGTAACGACAAGGATTTGCATGGTGACGAAGTGCCATTTGCAGAAATCAATGCAACATCTTGCTTCAAACGAATTCCAAACATCGAATGGTCTTCTGATCCCCTGAGATATTGCGTGGAATATATGAATTACTAAAAGATAGAGTATAAGAGAGAGAGAGAAAGAGAGGAAGAGGAAAACAGAGAAGAGAGAACAAGAAGTTTCATACGAAAGTCGGTGATGGCTTTTAAAGGAACTATAACTTATATCCTATTATGGTATATAAATAATTCTATAGCTTCTATTCATATTTCCATTTAAGATATTAATGCATAAATTTTGTTTCCAACCTAATGAGCAAAGAAAAATCTTAGAGAAGAAAGGAAAGATATTGAAATGATGTGTGAAGATACTTCTTACGATTAAGAGAGACGTCACAACCCCATTTGAGAGGTTTTTTTCTTTTGCAAAGATCTTCTTCAAGTTGAGCATTGAATTACATTCATTCTAGTCATTTGGAATCTGTCTTGTCAGTTGAACTGAACCTTTGAAACCAGAAAACATTTATAACTCGCTTGTCCAAGCTTTCTCCACTTCCTGAAGGCTCATTATCGTTTCACAAAGCTTAAATGTTCTTTCACGCCTTTTTTTGATCTTCATAAGATCCAACTAGCCGACACAAACTTCTCATTTGCTCTCCTATCTCATCAAACTAATTTGATTTTGCATGTTTGGTTTCATGCTCTCTTGAACCAAAAAATAAAATTCTCACGAGCCCTAATCCCCTTGTAAGTCCAATTCATCCCGTCATTCATCAGTATTTTTTCCATTTTCGGAGTTAAAACTCATTTTCCACTTAAATTGCTTCTCTTCTCCTTGAACTTTTGTCTGCTGTCAACCAATTTGTCAGCATTGATTGTAATTAGATTGTTTATTAAAGAAAACTTTTTTTACACATACTCTGTTCGAGATTTCATAACAGAGCTGCTGTTGCGCTTTCTGACCCTTCGTTACCTATCTCTCCTCACTTTTTGATTAGTTTGTTCTTGGGTTTTCTTTTTGGAAACAAAGAATCTCCTCGTTTCCCATTTCCTCCAACATTACTTGTGGGCGGAGCCATTGAGGACGACCAGAACCGTCACTCCCAGCCATCCTCCTATCCTTTCCTCCCTTAGTTTTCTTCTGTCCGTTATCGATTTCTTACTAACATATAACACCTCGTCTTATCGTAAATGAGCTCATAAACCGGAAGACAGCAGAAATTTTCATAAATTTTCGTTCCTTTTCCGCCAATTTGAAGTCTAATGTTCCCGTCTCGTCCAGCCTCATTTAGCCGGAAATACAACTTGTCCAAACGCATGTTTCATCCCTTTCCTCTATCTCTGATACCTCTCTATCTCGCTTTCTCTCTCTTTCTTCTTCTCCCTATCTGTTTATATCTAATAATATCTCTTAACACGTCCAATATTTTTGTTCAATCGTCCATTTGTTATCAATTGTTTTGCAAAATTCAATGTCTTTTAACAACATTTCCTTTTTTTGAAATCTATCCTTTTTCCTTTTTTTTATGGTTCACTCGTCTTGCAATCTATCTTTTGCATCTCAATATATCCTACATTCTGTCATCATTTTGTTCATTTTAACTTTCATTAGCCCAAAGGGCTTTTGCTCTTTTCCTCAATCATCTTCAGATAATAAACATAGATAAACGCCCTCTTGTTCCTACTCTGTCTCCCCCCCCCCACCCTCCTTCACCCTTTTCTAATTTTGAGTTTGTTTCATTCAAGCAGGTCGCCTTAATTTACAAATTTGTCTTTCAAGAGCATCCTAATATATTATGTGACTGTGCTCATTGTGCGGTAATTAGTTTCTTCATACAGCATCTGGCATATTATAGCTTGTACCATCGATCAAAAACAGCTGCTGTAAGGTTCTTTCAACATAGTAATAATATCACTTTTCTCTTTGTCGCTTCCTTCTTCTCTCTCTTTGTCTCCCTCTCTCTCTCTTTCTTTCTTTCTCTCTCTTAATCCCACTAGTTATTTTCATTCTCACTTCTGTGTTATACTGACCATTACTATCATAATCCTCTTCAGATAACTTGGCTGTTTCATATTCCATTTACTCTACGCTAATCCGATCAACTACCCAGAGTCTGTGCATCGATTTGTTCAAACTCCAGTCATCGGCCTTTTTTTGATTTTTCCTATTTTTTCTCACACTTTTATTTGCCATCATTATAAGAGCTTTTTGTCAACAATTTCTTCAGGCGGGTAGACACTCCATGTCGGGTACGTGGTCGCGTAAGCGACGGAACGTCGTCCATGCTGTCGGCGGATCTGTACCTTCTTCTCAAGATTCGGAAAAGATCAGAAGCCCCGATAATCTTCCTTTGCCACCGTCGATTCGATTTCAGCAAGTGGTGAGTCAGCTTAAAATCATATTTAATAACTTTCTGTGAGGTCAATTGAATTGTTTTGTCTTACAAAAAATATTTACTTGGTTGCATGAAGCATATCCATCTACTTGCCACCTCCTTATATGACAGGCCTTGTTTGCATTGATGTATTCAGGCTTTCGTTACTGCCCTGAGAGAGGCGGAAATATAACGTAAATGGAGAGATAGAAGAAAAAGGGTTAAGGAGGAACTGTTCCTTATGTAGACCTTATATGCTGCGATCGATTGGACGCTCCAACCCGCATTAGTACCTCGTCATTATTCCATTTTTGGGTTGTCCCTAACGTCATCAACTCTTTTTCAATCCCCTTTAAGCTCACAAATTCCTCATATTTCATACTGATTGCTTTTTCCTTCTTCTCTTTCACCTTAGTTTAGTCGATTTAGTTTCGCGCTAAAATCGAACCTCATTAGCATAATGTTTGGTAGCGTGGAAGCCACGTAAGCACTATTTCGCATTTTTTTAAGCTTCTTCCACGGTGTGCGGTTGCTTTCATAAGTCTTTGTTTGTTTTTCTGTTAAGAAATGATATTGCAAACTGTTTCTGATGAAGTTTTTTTTCAAATCATCATGATTTCTCTTAAACATTAATACTTTCAGCAACTTTCTGCTTCGACAGAAAAGATGTTTGAAGAAGCCGAATCCAAAGGAATTTTATCGTTGATTGGACGACAACTGAAGGAACTACCGATATCGCTAACCGATAAATACGACATTTCGGACATTGTATTAGCCGGTTCGTTTTTTTTTGTTTTGGCTTGCTAGCTGGCAATGGGTTGGTACTTTCTCATTCTATCTTCTTTCTTATTTGTTTTCAAAGATGATCTACCTTATTCTGGTTCATCGCCGAGATTTAACGTGTTCTTAGTGTGTTGTAAACACCGGCTACAACCATTTGATGCGCGGGCAGACGTCATTTAACTCGTTGAATGGATTATTTTATTAGCCTCTGAATCAATTGGCTCTTGGTATCACACTGAGATTTCCTTTTCGTACAAATCAAATATCTATAATATCTTTGAAAGAAACAAAACTGTTTAGTTAGGAGAAGGGATGCAAAAAATTGAATGAATACTCGCGAGGGAAAATGACCAGCTATCTCCATATTCATTCAAATCTCTTGAGGATGAACGATATCTTCATTTTTGAAATTTATAATTCTATAGTAGCCTTTTGTTTCGTTGCGACTCTCGGTGTTAGTAATTCAAGGGTAGGTCGCATTTGACAACTTCTTTTGTCATTTTCTAGAAGACTAAAAGGATGTGTTGTAACGACAATTCTGCCAACAACGTCCTCACCCCAGGGGATCTTAAAAACCAAGGCTAAGAGCTTGAATAGAGAGAGCGACAGACTATTTTGTCATTTATCATATATCATAGAATATATAGAGTGTATGCTTGTGACCAAATCCAACTTTGCCGGGGAATCATAGATGTGAAATAGAACAAACGTGCCATTAACTCGAGTAACTGGATAACATTGTGGGGGACTGTATGTGTGAAAATCCAATAGAATCTGGTTTATTAACGTCATAACCTCCTTGCTTATTCACTTAAAATAGCACTTCATACATCTCATGTTCAGCCTTTTATTACTTTTTCTTCTTTCTTTTTGTCTGTTTTCTTTGCCAGCGCTATTCCGACAGTCCCATTTTTTATCTTCCGTTTCCCTCCGTCTTCGCTATTAAACCATATGCTGTGCGAACATCTGGCAAGCTGCACGAAATTTTTGATGTCTTAAGATTGGAAGAAACTTTTTTTTTCAGATCTTAGCAACAATCGTTTTTCTGATATACCGGCAGCTTTGTGTGATTTACGGTCTTTGGAGACGTTGAGGATACAACAGAATGCTCTTCGACATGTTCCTACAAATATTTCTCATTTAATATCACTTTCTTTTTTAGATTTGAGGTGAGTCTATTGACCTTTCTCAAAGAAAGAGGTTCAGCAGGTGCTAGCATCTCTTCCTGTTAATTGTAAAGTAGATGACGATCATTATTAAGAAGATACTTTTCAGTAATAATCAATTGTCACAACTACCACTCGCTTTGTTTGAGTTACCATTATGTATTCTATTACTGACTGGTAACAGATTGGATACCATACCTAGGGAAATTAGGCAGTTATCATCTACATTAACAGAATTAGTCAGTTAGCTCCAACAACATCGTATCACAATATACATCTTACAGGATCTTAGTTATAATTTTCTTAATAGGATCCCAGCTGATATAGCATTGCTCAAGATGTTACGGGTACTTTGCTTGAAGAAAAACTTGCTCGATCAGTTTCCATCAGGTAACTCGAGATCCATATTGTTCCTTCTAAACATGTAATGTTTTAGAACTTTGCCGATTGTCTCTTCATACATTAGATCTGTCGTCAAATAGGTTCACACACCTTCCCTTACATATCAGAAAAATGAAAACGCTGATCGAATTTCATATATCAGATAATCCGCTACAGTCACCTCCAGCCGATATTGTCTCAAAAGTATTTACATCCTCCCACATCTCACATTCACTCGGAAATTTAGGGACGAGAGCATGTTTTCAAATGGATGGATAACGCTTCTGGTGGTTGTGACACTCTCCCTGCTCATCTGCTTCCCAATTCAAGTATAACGCTTAAAGCACTGAATCTTGGGAAGAATGGAGTTAATAAAAAGTAGGATATCTAATACAGTTCATATCGAATATTTAATTTTAGCATAAGCGAGTCTGACATGACCCGAAAGTCATCAGCTCCTGCTCCTTTGGAACGTCGTTCGAGATCTCATCGTTTCCATACAATTACTGGTAGTGATTCGGGTTACGGAAGTACAGCGGACGAACATAGACTATCTCATGAGGTTAGCTTTTCTATTTTGGTAATCGTGTAAACATGGGTAAGGCATTATTTTAGACAGACTGATAAAACGGTATTTACTCCATTAGGTATGTGCGTGCTAACAGCATGCTTTAGATATGTGCACTCCTCTGAAATATCTGAGAGAATCAATTAGTTTTCGAGAATTAGATTGCGTTCACTTTGTAGTTAGTAGATTTTAGTTAAACATCACGATGCGCTTCGAAATTTACCGTTGTCGCTCAAGTCACAAACATCATTAATTTCCCTTCATTTTGTATCTTGTGATTCTGTTCATGTTAGTTATTGGTTTCAGATACCATCTGGTGGCTTAGACGGAATAACGGAGTTTTCACCGTTTTCTCAGGAATCGCCTGACGGATCTTCTGATTTAGTAGAGGGTTTGTTGATATACCGAAACTGAAACCGTATACATATCTTTGCAGCTTCCGAAGAATCGACATCTCTTGATTCTTTAAACGAGAAAATGCCAGATAAGAAGAATCACAATGATATTAGGACGAATGTTGATCAGAAAAAAGTGAAAATGTTGTCTTCGATGAATCAATCGATCCCGAAAGAGAACACGGTACCGAACAGTTCCTCTTTGAATGGAAATGTTCCGATATCAGCAAGTAAGTCATGATTGTTTTCTCTTCATTGTAAAAATTGGAATTGTAGAAGAACCTCCCAACTCCTTGGATATCAGTAACAACAACACATGTCGAAACAAAGATGTTACTACACGCGGAACATCTCACAGCCAAAATGGTATGTTCGCTATTCAAAAATGGATTGCATATTTTCTTTCTGATTCAGTCATCCTTTCAACAACAACAAAAACAAAGCCTGTGTCAAAAGTTGCTCCTTTGATGAATACCACAAAAGGCAACCAAAATGTCAGTTCAGAACATGCTAAGGTTTGATTGTATGTTAATAAAGTTTTATCCTTCTTGAGTTACAGAACTCTTTGACTAAAGTTTCTACAACTTCATTACCTAAAAAAACTGTGAACGGTACCTACCGCACGAGAGAAATTACTTCAAGTAGAACAGTCTCAACACCAATTAGCACTAAACCAGTATCGGCTTCTTCCGTATCCAATATTTCTAATCCTACAAGTTTGTACATACAGTTACTTCTCCAAATGTGATTTCTTTTTCCAGGGCTCAGAACAATGACTGGATCTAGGGTACCATTATCATCTTCTGCTAATTCTTCTATAATCAAGGCATGTTCATTCTATTTTTGGTATAATCATCTTTGTCATTTCAGCGACCAGCAACGACTGCTCCCACTTCCCGCTCGGGTTCTATCGTGACGAAGTCTGCATCAAGCGAACCAAATTCTATGGAACAGTTCCGAAAGCTTTTTGAGGAAAAAATTGGAGTGACGTTATTATTCTTCTGCTAAGTTCTTACTCAAATTGATTTTTAGACTTCCCCCTGGTAAAGATAGCATCTCTGCCGCTCTGGCTGATGGGGTCCACCTCTGCACGCTTGCGAACGCGCTGCGTACGAAAGCAATCACAACCATCCTGAACACCACTGAGAATGAAGTACGTTATATTTCTTTTTGCAAGTATTTATATGTATTTTTCAGAGTTTAACTCCTCTCAAATGCAAGAAGAATGCAGAAAGTTTCGTGTCTGCTTGTAAGAAAGTTGGTGTGACCGAGGTATACTTGATGTTTTGAAGGGACATGATACATTTATAATGTTTAGGCATGTTTGTGCTCGTCTTCCGATATCACAACTAAGAGGAATTTAGTTTCTATTGTCAAAACTGTGGCTCAATTAAATCGGCTCACATCAGCAGCTGTGAGACCAACAACTAAAGTTGTAACTTCACGAATAGCTGTATGAGTGAACTTGTTGATGGCTTTAGTCAGACTTATCGATCTCTTAACTGTCAAAAATTGAAAATTCTTCCGGTGAATGCGTCTATCTTTGACGCTGAAGTTGAGGGATGAATTCATGAAGTTCTCAATTCTGTTTTTCCAATTGATCTTCCGATTCTTTCATAGTGGGAACGCTGCTTACTATGGGTATGATTGTGCTAATTTTGATTAGATTGTGTACATCCTTTTTTGCTCATGACCAAGTACATGTTCATTATAATACCGTACTACGTGTTAAGATAGTCGTTAAATTGTATTATACTTACATATATATATTTTATTTTACAAAAATATTAAAGTTTCAAACTGTGCTGTGTTCGTTCTTCGGTTACATCCTTCATGCACATGTTACATATCGTGTTTCCAACAGTTATAGCTGTATGACTACTCTCTTCAGTAAGATATGATAGATTACTGCTCCACGAACAGAATATTCACATTAGTTTTGGCCTTATTTGGGTTTGTATCAATAGCAACCAATCTCCTAATGGCTTGCTCTTCAGATTTTCAATTATAGTATTCTTCATCGAAGAATATGCAGAAGAAAACTCTAATGACATGAAAATGAAAATTGCCAGAATAGAAGATGGTAAGTTCATATTCAATTCATCCTTAAACATTCGCCTTCTTAGCTATACATCGGAAGCATTCCTCTAGTCATTGCTGGCTTGAAGAACCTTATGAGGTGAGTAGTTAACATGAGAGGCGGTCCATAACTTCATTCCAGCTCATTCAATCCTGTTTGCAATGCTCCGAGTTTGAAATAAATGCTTTGAAAACAAGTAAGTTCGTGAGAGAAGTCTGGAAAAACAATAATCTTTCCAGAATACTGTCTAACAACTGGCTACTATGATCGACTGAACTGCACCAAGTCAGGAATTCTTGCCCATCGACCTTGTTCCAAAATAGCTGAGGGAAATCAACGGTCCTTCTATTGGTTTTGTTTGGTGAACTCGGTGCTCCTCTTGATCAGTTATTCGATTTCTGTTAAAAGAAAGGAAGTTTTGGATAATCACAGCTATATGCGTCTCCAGCAACAGCTTGACTGAAATCTTTAAAGAATGATTTGTACATAGCTACTGTGATCATCATTATACATGGGTTGTCATTGTTTCAGTGATTGGTTGTTAATAAAATATTTTCTTCTGCTTCTTTCTTCACTACAATACAACACATTTTTCGTTTCTCGGGGAATACTTTGGAGAATATCAACCGGTTCTGACAATCGAGCATGTCTTACTCAACCATCAAATTCTCCGTTCAGCTGTACCACAGTTGACGAAATTGCTGGATTCTGAATACAATTTGAGGATTTAGGAGAAACAAAAAATCATGACATTGGAACTGGCTGAAAGGGCTTATTCGCCAAAATGAATATTTCTTCTGAATAGAAATGAAAGCTGACTCACAATATACTTCGGAGAACAGCTGAATCAGAGTTGTCGTTGCATGCTTTCACTCTAACCAATGACTCCAATTTTTGGTTTGCCGAGCAATTAATCAGAGTTTCCCATTGTTAAGGAAATCCCCATCCTTTTTCGTATGTTCTACACCTTGCTTCCTCTTATATCTTTCTGTTCTTTTCTTCCTGTCAATGGAGAAGGAACAACCTTAAAAAGAATGAGAGAAGACCCCCGATGTTGACGCCGGTTCGCCCAATTCAGTTTGTCTGATTGTATGACTTTCTCCTCGTCTTTTACAGTCTTTCATTAGTTTCGTTGATCAGCTTGCCTATGGCGATCTGTGATGCCATTTATAGTAGTACAGAGAAATAAAATAAGTAAACCGGAATGCATTTCTAAAATTATGTGTCGCTATGTATTTGGCCCATTTCTTCTCAGCTGTAACCTTCATGCAAATTCCTCAGTAAGAATGTGGTGGCTCCTACTCTATACGTAAATCAGGTGAGATCACTAAAGATCAGCAGAGAACAGGATACATAGATAAAAACTGATCGAAAGATGAATCTGCTTGGTCAGAAGTTTTGTCAAAAATATGTTTCTTCCGTGACTCTCGACGAAGTCTATGGAATTTTTCTGGTAGAGACGACCAAGTCAGTTTTAGTTCAAAGAAAAAGCGAAGCGATCTTTGTCGTCATTGAACTGACGACGACATCAAACTTCTTCAGTTCAATAGAGAATTCGCTGAACATATGGATAACTCCTGTATGTATGTATATATATATATTAGAAAATAAAATCATTCCAGACCATACTTCTCAAAAAAATTCCTCAGTATTCATTCATTACTCTTTCACCTTCGAAAAGAAAGAGAGAAAGAGCTCAAATGTTTTTGATGATCTTCTTTTGTGTGTGATTTGACCAATTGTTGATTTGGCATTGTTTCCTCGCAGTTCTTTTGAATGTACTCTCTGCCTGTTTATGAGGAACTTCTCATAACTGTAGACATACTGGTCTTATTAGCAAAAAAAGAAATCTAAAAGTAGGCAGAGCGATGGAGGTGGGGCAGAGGCCATTCTGGAGTTTCAGTCTGTAAGCCGGGTCACTTCGATCTTCTGCACCGTACAGATTGTCTAAAATAATTTTTAAAGCAATATCAATTTGCAGAAAGTACTTAATCTTGATCAGCATCGTCTTATTCAGGTCCGTCTGATCTATGATGCGATTCCTGTTCATCTTTGAAAAGTCTCTCTTCGTCTTTACGTCATGACCATACATATACATAAGAATGTATAAATACATATAAGAAGAACCTTTTTACTCATTGTCAGAACAGAAAGTCTTATTCTTCAATTCAATTCTCCACTGTTACTGTTCGTCTTCATCTTCTATTCTGCAGGAGACGAGTTGCTAAACTCTTACTTCTAACTGCAAAGAAGAGTATAGAGATAAGATGAATGTATACCAGCCAGATACTACTCGTCTTTTCTTTTTTGTCTTCTCTTCTTCATCATGTCGTTCCTTCATCATCGTTCTCTTCTTCATTTTCAAAGATTCCATCAAAACAACTAAGATTTAATGGAAAATTAACACATTTTAAATATTTTTTTAAACAATTTTCTCTCCATCATCAATCATTCTTAACCATAACGATGTTGGCAATCCTGAATTTGAAAACGTCTAACGAAGCCTAAAAAGAAATTTCTTCATGTTGGAGACTATCAAAAGTTTCGTTTTCTCTTTCTGTAAAGAGTGAAGCCTTACGTCTAGTAAGAAGCACAACTAGTTGTTCAAGCTCCTTTCGGAAGTAGCAGCTTATTCTTCCCCTGCTTTACAAAACTTTCATTGTGTGAAAGTCTTGTGTACATTATGACCTATGACTGTCCCCCATCAGAAATGCATCCACTTTTGCGGATCTTTTGATAACTCTTATTGCTTTAAAACATGATCATTAATCTTCCAAATTCATTAAGAAATATCTTACGTTATCTTTCATTCATATTTCAGGATGGAACGAATATACGTGTTCCTCTCCTTATTCTCTCTCGTCTACTTCTTCGAGGCAATTGGTGGCAGTTATATCATCGCAGCCATCCAGAATATTGAAAAACAGTTCCAGATTCCATCAAAATTCTCTGGTTTCATGGTTTCTGCAAGTAATATACTCAAAACAATCCGATTCTTGATAATTCAACTTCAGGTGACATGGGTTATATTCCATCGGTGCTTCTCATCTCTTACTTGGGCTCTCGAGGCAACCGTGCAAAATGGATTGGTGGCGGAGCTATAATGATGGCTGTAACTTATCTAATGATCGCATCTCCAAACTTCATTTTCCCTACATTGCAAGTCCGGCTCAATGAATCAGATGCTGAAGTAAATTAACCCATTTTGAACTTTTGTGAATAGGGATTTTTAAGAGCACCGTCAGAGTCACATCCGATCTGCTAGACGACCATGTTACTCTTCAGCAACTTCTAGCTTACCCGCTTATAAAAGACAGAATCCCGAGCCATATTCGTTTTCAACTCTTGGCTCTACCTGATACAGATGGCCCAGTGGTTTGTGAACATTCTCGCGGATTCAATAACATTTTCTTGTAGGCTGTGGACGAAGCGAGTTTGGAATCTCCACGACATGCTGATTACTCGTATTTTTCCATTGACAGCTGGATCCTGGATGAGGTAAGCGAGCATTTGATGTGAACCAAGAATACTCTTACTAGGTTTGTGACAATGCTAAGGAAATAATTGAGCAAAAACAACCAGAGAAAGCTATAAGCCTGTTGAAGCTCTTCATTAGCAGAAGAGTGAACAACACAGAAGCTGATATATTCCGGTAGGAAGTGAAGTTCTTCAGAATCACCAACTCTCTTAAGATTGAAACGAAGTTCCGCTGCGCCTTTCAGTTACTGTGGAGAACTTGTCAATAAAATACGCCGTGGACATGCTGTAAAAATACAACTCTATATAAGGCTCTTGAACATTTCTATTCAGGCTCTACGCTGTCAAGACGCTGGAAGTTCCTCTGGAGTATTTCTCATTATGTTCACCGCTTTGTTTTTCCTCGGAATTGGTCGCACTATGCCATGGAGCTTGGGAGTGCCTATGCTTGATGATAATATTAAGAAAAGGAATCTACCTGTTTACTTCGGTTAGTGAGATGTCCATCTTTGTACTAAAGAGTACAGTTTAGGTGCAATCTCGTTCATCAGAATTTTGGGACCGATCTGTGGTCATTTAATAGGAAGCTTCACTAATAAAGTCTACTATACACTAAATGGTGAGTTTTCAACAAAACCATCAAGCACATACATACATTCAGCTCCACCCGGTCTCACTGCTAGTGATCCTACATGGATCGGCGCTTGGTGGATAGGTTTCCTCATCATAGGAACGGTCACACTCTTCCCATCAATTTTCCTATTTCTTTTCCCTTCAGGCAAATCTAAAGTGTAAGTTCAGTTAAGACATGTATAATTAACTTGCATATTTTCTTCAGTTCCACAGGCGAAGAAGGACAAAAATCTAATGATCTTGTCTTCTTCGATAAACATAAAGAGAAATCAAAAGACGAGTCTTTACTCGAGAAAGCAAAAGGTATTTGAAAATTGAGTTGATCAGTAAAACAGATACTCTAAGGATTCACTAAATCTTACAAAGAAGTCATGGGAACTAAGATTTATTTGGGGGCAGCGTTTGGTCGTATAGTAGACATTCTAGCCTTCAAAGGCTACATCGTATTCTTGCCTAAATATTTGGAGAACCATTTCGGGATTCCCTTGTTCAGAGTTCATCAGTTCATGGGTGAGGTGTGATAGTTCACGGGATTTTATCTTTGCCCTTTTAAGCTGCTTTCGGAGTTTTCGGCTTCGCACTTGGAACTGCTATGGGTGGCATTATCACTAAAAAGTACAAATTCAACGGAAGACAAGCATCTCTCTTCGTACTCTTCGTTTCAAGCATCAATCTTGCTTTATACTTTTCTAAAGCCTTCATTGCTTGTGATTCTATCGTGCAAAACGTAGCTCACCACACCGGGTACGTTTTCTCCCAAGATACATAATGGATCGTTAATATTCAGGAACCAACTAAATAATTTCACGAAACCTTGTAATCTAGATTGTGGTTGTACAGCTGCCAAACTGTATCCTGTGTGTACTGAGGATGGGTAGGAATGTTTTCAATTTTAAATCTGAATTATCAATTAAGACATGCTTATTACTCACCTTGCCATGCTGGATGTCGGGAAGTACGAATAAATAAAAACAACACTCATGATATCGTAAGCTTTGATCCCTTGTAGATATGATCTGAGTAATGATTATAGGAATTCTCATCCTGTGAATGTACTTCGGGTGGTGTAGTAAGAAAAGATTATTGTCGAGATAATTGCAAATGGCCAATTGTTATTTTCTTTTCAACAGTTCTGAGTGGTGCTTTCTTCGCGGGAATGGGTCTCGTACCTGGAATGCTCATTTTGTTACGGTACAACTTCTGGCACATTGAGTTTTAATATGTTAGCCATTAAGATCTGTGCCACCAGCTACACGATCAGCCTCATTAGGTCTTCAAGGCTTATTAGTTTCTCTATTTGGAACCTTACCCAGTCCGGTGCTGTGGGGAGCTATTGTGGACAGCGCTTGTCTTGTTTGGGAACAGGTTTGTTTTCTGAAATATGCAAAAACGCGATATAAACAGGCAGAAAAGAGAATAACCTATTTGTTTTTTTTATCTCTACAAATTATACGCTCGATCAGTTTGTTTACATTTCTTTACGATCTTTTGGCATACGCATGTTGTCATTTTCAAATGTCTGTGCGCGCAGAACGGTTGTGTTGAGAAAAAAAATCCGCCTAATCGATAGTGCAGACGGGTCATGCCAAAATTTGCCAGAAATTACTATTTTGAACTTTCATATTATAGAACTGTCAAGGTGGAAATGGAAGTTGTGCTATATTTGATGCACCCAAATTACGCTGGAGGTAATATAGTTATGAAAATACAACTGAAGACGAGTTTCAGAATGCACATGATGTATGTAGTGATACGAGGGTTATCGCTGTTCACAGATGTGTTCGTTTGGTGTCATGCGAAAGATTTGAGCTTGATGGACGAAGAAGAAGAAAAGAATGAAGCTGAAAAAGAAGTCACTACAAACGAGGTTTTTCCACAGTTTCAATACTCAAGCTGATTCTGATATTCAGGTTGCCTTGCGAGAACTTGAGCGCTCACCATCACTCCGTTAGATTGAACAATTGCCTTTAATCAAATAGCATTTCTTACACTATTGATCTCCGATTCCATGTCCATTTCAATTAGTCTCGTGTCTTAAAGATAAAAGATTTATTCTTAAAACAACATTTTTCGATATACACACACAGGGAAAATTAATAAGTTTATTCGTAATCTTCAGTATAGTTAGCTTCTCCTTCAGCTCCTTCCAATTCTCCCTCCTCATCGGCAGTGGCTTCCTGGTATTGCTGATATTCGGAAACGAGATCGTGCATGTTAGATTCAGCTTCGGTGAACTCCATCTCATCCATACCTTCTCCAGTGTACCAATGCAAGAAAGCCTTACGACGGAACATAGCTGAAAAACGAAAGTACAACTCATTCGATGACAATTTGAACTACCGGAGAATTGTTCAGAGATTCTCTTGAAAAGCTCCTGAATGGAGGTAGAGTTTCCAACAAATGTTGCAGCCATTTTAAGTCCACGAGGAGGAATGTCGCAAACAGCAGTCTTAACGTTACTTGGGATCCATTCAACAAAGTAAGAAGAGTTCTTGTTCTGGACAGACATCATTTGGTCATCGACTTCCTGCAAGAATTCAGCTCAAAACGATTAAAAATGATCCTAACGAACTCTCATGCTCATGCGTCCACGGAACATAGCAGCTACAGTAAGGTATCTTCCGTGACGGGGGTCACAAGCAGCCATCATGTTCTTGGAGTCGAACATCTACAAAAAAAATGTTTTGAAACAACTTTTTCACTATGAACCAACCTGCTGAGTGAGCTCGGCAACAGAAAGAGCTCTGTAAGCTTGAGCTCCCTTGGCAGCAAGAGGGGCAAATCCAGTAAGGAAGAAGTGAAGACGTGGGAATGGTACCATGTTGACGGCGAGCTTACGGAGATCAGCATTGAGCTGTCCAGGGAAACGCAAGCAAGTAGTAACTCCAGACATGGTAACAGATACTGAAAAACGAAACCAATGCAAAAGTATCACGGGATCACGAACCGAGATGGTTGAGGTCTCCGTAGCTTGGGTTTTGCAACTTGAGAGTTCTGAAGCAGATATCATACAAGGCCTCGTTGTCAATACAGAAGGTTTCATCAGTATTCTCGACAAGTTGATGAACGGAAAGGGTAGCGTTGTATGGTTCGACGACAGTGTCCGAAACCTTTGGAGAAGGAACGACAGAGAATGAAGACATAATTCTGTCAGGATACTCCTCACGGATCTTCGAGATCAGAAGGGTTCCCATACCGGATCCAGTTCCTCCTCCAAGAGAATGGGTAAGTTGGAATCCTTGCAAGCAATCACATCCTTCAGCCTCTTTGCGAACAACATCAAGAACGTTGTCGACAAGTTCGGCTCCTTCAGTGTAGTGACCCTAAAACTCATAATAACAAAACGTTAAACTTGGACGGTCATACCTTAGCCCAGTTATTTCCTGCTCCGGATTGTCCGAAGACGAAGTTATCTGGACGGAAAATTTGACCGAATGGACCAGCGCGAGCAGCATCCATGGTTCCTGGCTCGAGATCAACGAGAACAGCACGAGGAACATACTTTCCACCGCTAGCTTCGTTGTAGTATACATCAATTCTCTCAAGTTGAAGAGGAGAATCTCCCTGGTAGGCTCCATCTGGACCGATTCCATGCTCGTCAGAGATAACTTCCCAGAACTTCAACAACAAAGTAAGAAAAGTTTAAAAAATTTTCAAACCTTGCAACCGATTTGGTTACCGCATTGTCCGGCTTGAACGTGAACGATTTCTCTCATTATTACTAGTAAGGCGTTTAACCTATAACAGGAAAATGTATCGAAACCTCAAAGTTGAAAAAACAAAAAAAGCAGAAAATAAACAAGAGAAGGTTTTAAATGACGGGATTTATCAACCAACTGTTCCGTCGAGAGGAGCACTGACCGACGTCCGAGAGCAAATATGAGCGATGAGAGTTTGCAAGAAACTGCAGAGAAAAATGGGCGCGATTTACTACAACCAATTCAAATCGATTTATGAAGAATCCGCAAAACGTTTGTACAAAAATAGGTATTACAGATGAAACAACTGAAATACATAACGCTTGTAGCTCATAAGGAGAAATCTACCATGAGGCAATTCAAGTAATACTGAACAAAACTAGACCGCAAATTGAAAAGTTGGCGCGCCTACCGATCAGACAAAGAAATGGTTATGGCGCGAAAAATGTCAAATTAAAAATCTGAGAAATGCGTGGGGGCCAAGATAAAAAATGTTAATTAAGGAGGTCAAGATTTGGATCGGCCATATAATTATGAGGTAGAAATCACAAAAAGCAAAGGAAACAGAATAAGAAGAATTATACTATCGATATAGGCAACCATCCGCATGTACCATCAGAGCGCTCACAGAGGGCATGAGTATCTGTTCGTTCAAACACCTGAAAAATGAAAATTTCCGAGCCGAATTATTTTCACGCAATGTATTTAGGTCGTTGGGGGAACTGATAAGATTTGGATTTGTCTTTGTTTGTCGGTAAATGAACGACAACGAATGACCCTGTAAGGGAGGAGTTGTCAAATGAGTTGGATCAGATGGGGATAGATCGTCGCTGACAACTACTATTTACGAAAGTATTAGTTGTTCTATAGTATGAAAGATTGAAATGGTTGCGAAACCTGTATCTTTTCTCCGAAGGCAACGGACATTTCTCCCTGAAACTTCTTCTCATACGATCTTCTGGTGTGAGTCCACTCTCCTGCCTCTTCTCGAAGGAAGAGATCTTTCCTAAAACAATTCAAATTTCATTTTATTGCTGGTGAGTGCCATGAACACTATAAAAAAGAAATAATTCTCATATAAAAACTTGGGAATCAATCAGATTTTATGAGGTGGAATGCTACGCATTCTGAAAGCGTCACTTTATCTTCTGTATTTCTAACTTTGGGTCATTGATCATCGGTTTACAAGAAATATTTTGATAAGAGCTTTTTCAACCTCTCTCATTCCCCGTCTTCGATTATGTATCATGGGAATTAGGAGAATCAAAAACTCACACATGCTTTCGAACTTTGGTAGGGGCAGTTATGTTGAAGAGTAAGGCACTGAAATTCATATGTTCTGTGGATCTTGGAAACGTTTTCACTTGCCCTGTTTCAATGTCAATCAATCCTTTTTTGGCCATTAAAACACAAAGGTGACAACTTCTTAAAGACCTCATTGTATCGAAACTCTTGTGATTCTCGAGATGGCGTAAGAAGGCCGGAGATATGTCTGAAAACGACCTGTCATTTCGAAAATCTAGATAGTTTTCCGATTTATATTCTTTACTAATAAGTTGTACAGCGAAAACACATTAGTTCCTCTCTTTCTACACAGATTTCCGTCGTGAGTAAACATTAAAAACCATTTGTTTCAATCGTAGAAAAACTAAATGCTACGGTACACAAATCTAATGAGAAGAGAGAAACCAATATCGAGAAGTATTTAGCTTATAAGAGATTTTTCCTATTCGATTACTCACCTTCTTCATCTGAGTCAACATGAGCACTGGCATCACCTGGCATCATACCCGGAAACACAGGAACTCCTATGTTTTTGATGTGTGACTTAATTGATTTGCTTTTGGCATAATCGTCAGGATTGATTTTTCCTTTATCCTCCAAATAAGAATGCGCGATGAAGTTATCTTTTGGACTCTGCAATGGTGTCACAATTATTTCTAAAGAAAACTCTTCTCTCCCATATCAACAAATGTGGTGCCTTAATCCGATTACGTTTTTATCACCTACTCGGAAGAAAAATTGATGTAAAAGGTAAGCTTACAGGAGATGTAGGTTCTTCAACTTTGACATTGTTGTTGTGATGTACAACTTCTTGTACAACTCTCGCTTGTGGAACCTTAAAGAAGAAATAATTAATTTCATTTAAACCTACAGTCAAGAGCACAACCGGAAGTGCATATCAGAGTATTAAAAATGACGATTGATATCACGTGAATCACGTGCATTCTAATATCGAAGTGCGTAAGTTTCTGTCAATAACTTTTTTCGCTTCCCACGATAACTCAAACGTTCGATGAAAATTTCCTTATCTTTTGGAGAGGAAATGATGGAAAAGGTAATATCAGACATAAAGCAGCTTGGAATCGATCGACCTTATTACTGACTAATCAATATTTGCATACTATTTCAGGATATTTCATAATTGAAAGAATGCAAACTCACAACTTGATTAGTAACAGGTGAGACGCTACGTGTGTTTGATGAACCACTAGTCTGGAATCAACTAAATTAAAAGTTGCAAACTTCACTCTAGATTACGTAAATGAGATGATTATTGTTGTTGAACTTAGGAAGAGCTAATCGATTACCGAATCTTTTTTGTGTGTATCTGATTGTTTTCTCGTAGTCAACCTTAAAATGTTGCCAATGAAGTAATCATAATGGGATTTACCTTAGGATCGTAAGGTCGTCCATCTATATAGTCAGGCGGTGGGATAAGATTGGTAGGTGCTTGACTGGCCTTGTATGTAGCATTATAATCAGGGGAAGGAATAGAATCATTAGGTGCCGAATAGCCGTAGTCCGGTGACGGAATTAAACTTGACATTGTTAAAAACAGTACGTGAACTTTCTTTCTATCGAGCTGAAAACAAGAGAGGAAGAAGCTGAAGAAAAACAGGAATGTGTTTCAAATTATAAGAAAGAGCAAATGGATTACATGATAGAAGGACATGTGATCAACAAGAGGTAGGCGAACAGAACTGGAAAGTGATAAGTGAATCCTGAAGATAAGTCTGAGAAAACGAAAATGGAATGATGGAAAAAAATGTGAATGAGGTGGTCTTCAAGGCAATAGAACTCTCTTATCACTCCAACTGGCAACGCCTAAGAGTAAGCCCAGATAGAAAATTCTTCATTAGATTGTCGCTGACATAAAGGTAACGAAAGTGAATGGAAAAAATAGGATTTATTAAATTAATATATCAACATGCAACTTTAGTGAACATAAAACTGTCAAATAGGCTCATTTCAAAATGATTACAGAACTTTCAGTAAATGGTTAGACACAAGCCTTTGGGAATGTTGTGCAAATGTTTGTGGTCTTCAAAAAGCTTGATAAGAGCAGAGCAGTATTTCGAATGCAGTGCATCAACTTCTGCATCAGTCGGATTCAGATTCTTCTCAACTCTTAAAAAGCAAAGATAAAAGCAGCAGAAGTGAAGGACAAGTGTCAGTCATCTTAGTGCACACCGAAGGCGACGCGTACTGAAGACGAACTGAAACCTTAGAACTTGTGTTTACCTTATCGGAGCTCCTAAAACAGAAGTTATTGGTCTTCTGTGCGGTAAAATTCCAAAACTATAATTGAAGATTCCCCGTCCACTGAAAAGTGGAGGACAAAAACCACAAATAGTTTTTATTTTTTGCTGTATTTCTCTTAGACGGGTTCCTTTGCTGTTATCTAATGTATCGTAAATATCAGTCTCTCCAAAATTATACAAAGGCACTAAATCTGCTCTGAAGCAAAACATTAAATTCGAGGGATTGATAACGAGATACCTACCCGTACATGAGCGCGAATCGACAAAAACCTCGCCGACATAGTAAATTGACAACGTGACTACCAGGACGTGTATCGAGAGCTTCTGTTGCTCCTCCAATCACTATAGCCACAGCTCTACCTATAGAAATTTATTGGACGATAAACCCTGAGAACGACAGTACCTTTTCCAGGGTTCTCTAGCAAGTAACGGAGGGATTCTTTACTTGACTCCACACCACCTGTAATCTTCAAGTCAAGAACAAGATTAGTAATCAGTACCTAGAGCAATGCCAATGTCTCGTCGGAATGGGAAATAAAACTGGCCATTCAAAGTTAGAATGGTGGATTGAAGACCGGGAAACTTCTCAGAAAATCCAGTGGCATTCGTCAACATGCTAACGAAAGCTCCAACTGATAGGACTCCGTGAGGATGAGATCTATATCATCGATGTAATATAAAAACAACTGTATCTCACACCCGATGATGTAGTTACGATCAGCTGGTAGTTCAGCAGTTTTCACAAGCTTCAGCGGGAAATAATCAGCAAAGTGTTTCCAGATGACATTGTTCTTGTACCAGTTCTCAAAAGACCACATAGAACAAATTCGCAGAAAAAATGAATACCCATCCTCTAGATCCGTTTCGAGGAGCTGCCCAGTCGAAGTATGTCCACACGGCATAGACAATCATGGTCCACCATAATGGAGAACAAAATAATATGTACAATGGTAGCTAAGTAGATGATGGATTTTCTGACGGACACGTCGCTTGACTCACCCATGTAGATAAGATAGGTAGTAATATCCAACAAAAAACGAAATGAATAACAGCTAAGGTTTCTAACCTTCGTTTCCATGGGATTCCTAGAGGAACCATGGTGAAACCTAGAATGTTCCAACTTTTTTTAAACATCGTTCCTGAAGTTAATAGAAGCGTTGGGGTTGATAAACATAGAATGTCTGTGTAATATGACGAGGAAAAACAATATGAAAACTGTGGAAAATCATGTGGTTCTACCTCTTCATAATTTCCATTAAAAACTGGGCCCATTAAAATCACTTGTGTTTCAAGAAAAGGTTGTGTTAGTTGGTGTTAGGGGTGAATTGGTTGCGTAGTGTTGAAGTTTGGACCTGTGCGCGTTATTCTTGAGATGATACTACAAGATCCTTAGGGTACTTCGTACTAACCCTTTATTACTCCCCTTGTTATGTTATCACTTATACTATCTACGATGAGTGATTACGGGTGGTTTCAAACTCAAAATGTGCTAATATGTGCGCTTTTGTGGTGCAGGGAGGGTATGTATGAATGCTGTAAGAAAACAAAAAACTTTCGGATTTTAGAAGAAGTTCAGTAAACTAAACGGAAATGTCTTGATATGGCTTGTCCTCCAAATTGTTTCTCTTTCAACAAATGTGCCCTTTGCTCCTTAGATTGTAAAACTTCTGTAAGTTTTATGCAGCATTGTATCAATGTAGGTTCAAATGGTCACAAACAACTTTAACGAATAAGCTTTAGTCGCATTCCTTTGAAGTACCGGAACTACGAGCTTTGTACAATGTGAGACCCTTATATTTCTATGGGAAAAAGGGCTTAGTTATTAAATTCTTGGAGGAATGGTGAGTTACCCCTGCGATTCGATGTCTCATAAGCAGTTACAGTGCCTCAAGCTCCTCCATTCGGACTGATTTGATTCTCACAATCCTTTATGAAGATCCATCAGCTGTATCATGTTCCTATTCTATTGAAGACGAACGTGTTTATGTTAAAGGTATTCATACATTTTAATGTGTTCATCTCATAGTTTTCGTTTCAGCTGTGAGCTTGGCTAAGTATTTCAGGACAGGTTTGAGTTTATTCATGTATTTACTATCGATATTATTAAGAGATGAAAAAAGCAACTACTTCTGAAGACACTCAAGTACTGCGAACTTCAGTGAGTCATCTCCCTTGTTTTCCTTTCATTCAATTAAAGTATGCAGTTGGTCGGAAAGGAACTTTTCCCTTCGTCGTCAGAAGCCAAAGAATGTAAAAACCTTTTAACTAGTAATCGTACGGTTAGTCAGATCTTTTTGTACTATTCACATCACGAGGAATTTCCAGACTTTCATGACTCCCAAGGAATTAGAAGAGATCTCTGAATTAAGAAACAACTGTTGTACCTGTACGAACGAGGTGAACTAGCCCATGTGATCTTCTTAAGTTATCATTGATTCAGATAAAGTTCGTGTCAAATCGCTTGGCTAAAATTGAGGAGAAAAGTGTCGACCTCATGCTGACTTTGAGAAATTACTTGGACGTATGAAGCTAATGTTCTTTCATACAATACTAATATGTTACAGGTTACGAATACTCCTTCAACCTCCAAGAAAATGCCAGGGAACGGCAATGAGACATCAGACCCTCGTCGTTCCAAATCCATTGAACACTTTGATGGTGATGTTAGTTGTTTTAAAATGCTCCAGGACATCATTCTCGTTGATTTCAGGAATTTCTTTCTGTCCCGACCGATCCTTACTTGGAAGAACAGCCTGAATCCTCGTCGGATGATACTGATAGGCACAGAGTAGGAAAAAGGATTTGTATACGAAATGAAACTGAATATGAGGATGAGTTATCGCAAGCGTCAACAGCAGTACGTTATGCACCTCTTGAATAATTTTATATTTGGTTCAGAACATCTCAGAAAGTAGTACAGAGGAAACCCCGTCTGAAGAGGTAATGAAGTGAAGCTTTGTATATATCAGTCTATATGTTTCTAGGGGAGCATGATGGATTCTGTACTTCTCACAAGGTTACTAATATCGAATTGGTTAACTCAGGGACAACCCAGGGTTCGGGAAAATCAAATTTACCATCCTGTGGAAGACAGAATAATGAAGAACGACGAGGTATATTACTAGTCAAGTTATGAATCAGCTTTTCTTTCAGCTCTGCAAAGCAGTAGCGAGAATGATTTTGCTCAATCCGGAAATGATAATTGATCCGAATGACTTCACAGCTCAGTTGAACTCTCGGTGGTTCCAGTTTGTCAGTTTTCACACAGTCAGTCTTATCTTCTGTTACTTTTTATAAATTTCTTGTTAGAGAACGAAAGTGTTCAAGAAATTGGTGAAGGACGGGTTGTTACAGAAATCCAAAGATCTATACTTCAAGATTAAGAGCAAAAATAAATTTAAGAAGAATTTGGTGTGTAGTGTGGTGTTATATGGATGTTGTACTTTGTATTTGCAGGAATATCAATTAAAGTTGGCAGAGTATGGTCTGCGGATAGTTGATTACTATCAAACCGATTAAGATTTGTTTAACATTCATAATATACTCAGGCTTTATTATCGGGTATCTCGTTTCAACGTTTACATTCCTCTTATTGTTCATAATAAATAGTGTCACAACATGAAAAAAAAATTTATTTGAAACACACAAAATCAGAATAAGAATTGAAAATAAATAAAACTATAATGTTGCATATGGAATGTTTAGAATACACAAAGTCATTAGCCTCTAAAAGCGATTGTAAGTTCTTGACGGACATTGTAGAGGAAGCTGTTCAAAGATATCCTATGAATTAACGAGATCACCGTGAAAATTTTACAACTTAAGGTGATAACAACATTTGAAGTAGAGTTCCCATATTAGTTAATACCGTGCACAAGATGTTGGCTTCACCCACCAAGCAGCCAATCGTTTTCTCTGTTGAGCCTTAGATTATGCCGTCCTTTAAATGAAACACCATTAGTGGATCCACTGAAACAAACACGGGACAAGTTAAACATTGAGGTAAGTTTCTAGAGATTTCTTTTTGATTAAAACATATATTTTGTTAGAGATTTCGCTTTGAGGTAAGTACGAGTCGCATGATGAAATACAATTTACAAAAGTTTGACGTAAGAACTGAAGAGAACATAGGTGGTTTGCCGACCCAAGGATAACCCAAGTAAGGTTCAGTGTTGTTGATAGACTTTAGACATACCAAGACTCAGTTTCTTTCCTTGAGACAGCCTTCCCATAGCATCCACCAGACAGAAGCAGAACACTGCTATAGTGGAAGAAGTGCAGAGAATCGCCAAATGGGAAGTTAGAGTTATGTGGGCTGAGTAGAATAGAGATGCACAAGTGAGAGCAGACTAAAAAAAAAGGTTTAATTACTTTAACGAACTTACACCTAACCTGGTAAAAGTTGAAGAGAGCAAAAGCTTCGTTGGAACAATGTGAGAAGACGTCTCCAATTAATGCATAAACCTGTGTGTTCCAGCATCCGTCTCCGAAACCAAGAATGAAGGATATGAAACAAGTTAGATAAGGACTGAAATAAGCTTATAAGTTGAGCGAAAGTAACTAGGAACAAACTTGGGTTGGATGATGCCGATATCGTTGGTTAAGTGAATAGAAGAATTGGGAGGAAAGTTAATATAAATTCCGATGAAGGAAATGATATGTAGAAAAAAACCAGTAATCACAAAATGATTCCGCTTTAAAGCGAAACGGCGAGCTGCAACCCAAGAGCATACTGAAAGAGTCTGTTTTCAGTTTACTGCTGAAAACAACATACACAAAATTTGGCCGAAACCGGATGATATGGCACTTAAAGCCATCAGAACGCTATTGTTGTTCCCCATCTGCTGCGTGAAGGATATAGCGGTAGGGTAAATACCTATAGCAAAGTGTTCTTAGTAGTTACGAAAATGGTTGACTTACTTGTCCAGAGCGACTGTACAATACCCGTATAACAAAAAACAAAGGCAAGTAGGATCATTCTCTTGGTGGGCAATAATGCGAATGTTGTAGCTGTAATGAAAACCTATTTCTTTCTTGAGTTAAAGCTTACCAAAAGATGCATTGTTGTAACTAACAGCAACTTCATTATGTTTCAACGTTTCCGAGGGAGGATGTCGTAGAAGTGCGAAAACAAAAGTTGACAATATCAGAACAATTGTCAAGCTAATGGAAATTATTTTAATTGCTGTTGGTGAAATAGTATTATCGTCAGACGATGAATGGTGAAAAATTGTTAGGAGAACTATTCCACCGATGATTTGTCTGGAACAGGTAAAACTGACTAGAAAGAAAGTACTTAGAAACTTACGATGCTTGAGATAAAGCCCATACAATTGATGAGTTCCTATCAATTGTCTTCTCTGTGCTATTCAAGGTCATGTATGTTCCAAGAGCTGGCCACATAACTGAATAATTATTAATGGAATCGCTTAAAAGGGTAACATACGGGCTGCTCCGAATCCAGATAAAGCACTTGTGAAAAAGAAATAAAATTCATTTATATGGAGAAAGCCAATCTGAAAAACGAATATATATATAAAACTCAAGGAGCGAAGTTTGCACAGCTAATCACAGCGTCTGAGCTTTCGAAAATAAAGCCCACGTCACTCACGTGAAACGTGCGGTACGTGGAAAGTTCAGTCAAACAAAGCTGATTGAAAGAATTCAACATTTTCATTTTGTTAATACCTCATAGAGCGTTGTTAAAATGGCGCCAATTGTCATAGCCCATTTGGGACCAAGTACTTCAATCAGTGGCGCAATGAACAAATTCGCTGCTGTGAAAACTCCATAGTAAAGTGCGAGTCTGAGACAAAGAAAAATTGTATGAGGATGAGTCAAGTTAATTAAGCTACCCATTATAACCAGCATGTTGATCTATTCCATTTTCATCAGCCACGCCGGCAATTACAGCTTCCTGGATGTAACCTGAAGTAAGTCTGGTTAGTTAGTAAAGTATTCCCTTTTTCCTAAGATTTTTCACCGTTTCAGTACATCCATTCTTGAGTTTCCTGTTCAGTTTGTTTTAGTTTAAAACAAGCCTTACACATACCCTGAGAATTGAAGGAGATGAAGAAGAGTAGAAAGCCGAGTCCCAACTGTAGAACATTGCGAGTGGGACGACTTAGCATCAAACTGAAATTGTTTTAAACCAAACGCTCCGAAATTCAAACTATAGTGAGGCAAAAAGGACAATGTTCCACATCACTCTCATGTGGCAAATCATCGCGAATTAGAACTTCCGCTTTACCAGTTTCATTTATGAATCCCAGATCACAAAGAATGTGGCAAACCAACGAGATTTTTTCATGATTTGTGGAAAAACTGATGAAGAAACAGAACAAAACAAAAAGATAGAAATAGAAAACGCATAAACAGGTTGTAAACGATGTGTTCGAAAAGAGAGAAAGAAAGTCGATAAATAAAGTAAAAGGGGGGAATTTGTCTTAAAAAATGTTATCATTGAGGGTCACTCAGTGCACAAACTACTCGTCAATATGATCTTTGGAAGAAAGGAGTAAATGGAAGGAGTATATATTCAGTAAACTCACATTCATTTTTGAGCGACTAAGTCCCACACAGAAAATATTTGAAAATAGAAGGGAAGAAAAAACTCATTAAAAGGATTCGCGCAGAAATTGAAGAAGAAAATATTGTGTAAAAGGTCTAAAGGTTGATCAATGAGTTTGTACCATAGGTGAGGGGGGTATCAAAGACAAAAGACACGATGACGAAACACGAGGGGAAAATGATCTAACAGTGGTTCTAATTGAGAAATGAAGCGACATAATGGTGATTTATGGACTGCTTAGAAAAAGAAAGAGAAGAATCAGATGAGGCTTTGAGAAGAAAATGGCAGAGATTGTTATAACCATGGGAACAAAAAAATGTGTAGAGAGACTTGGCCACTGACCAAGAGAGGCAGTTGGATTGAAAGCTCTGGCATGTGCCCAAATTGTCAATGAATAACAAGAATGAGTGGGAGAAAGAGAAAGAGGAAGGAGGGGCAGGGAGAGGTTTTGTGAATGAAAAGACAGAAAAGGCAATATATTTCAAAAAGATGAATAAAAGATGCAACATGTTGTTGAATCTTATGTTTTTTGAGTCAAAGGATTTGTATGAGGGTGATTGTTAGTCTCAATTAATTGAAACAATCGAACGTTTTTGGTCAAACAAGTAATAGATGGAATATTCCTTCATTCGATCATTTGAAATTTAACCATGTGAGAGATTTCGAAACTGGAAAAAGATAGCAAAGATTCGGCAGATGAGATTAGATTTTAGCCAGTTAATACAAATTGATTCAGAAGTGATTAAAAAATAAAACTTCTCCGAACTAATTATGAAACGAATACTGGATTATAAGGGATAAACAGCTAAATAAACATCACGAAGGTTACAGCCATCATCATTTCAGCTGAAATCGAAATGATGGCTGTAGATTTCTGCTGAACGACTACTTATCGTAGCGGTAAATATTGAGAATTCAAAATGACAATGAAATACAAAATAGGAAACGGAAAAGTTCCTGATAAGAAAAAAACGAAACAGCCGATAAACGTTAGCCTTTGCTTTCTTAATTTCGAAAAGAAAAAATATCAGAACTAATGCAGTCTATTGAAGTTTAACAGACGACTCTGCAAATTGAGTTCAAAAAGCTAACAGGCGGTCAATGATGAGTGCAAACGGGTGCGAATGGGATAGGGTTAGTAGTGGAGAAAAAAGATCTTTGGAATTGGATAAGTTCCGGCATAATTAGCATAAAATCGATAAAATTAAAATTGAACTCCAAATAATTGAGAAGTCGAAGATAAAAGCAAAACTGAGCACGAATTTGGTGAAAGGGAATGTTTGATAAAAATCTAGACGATGACAAAGCGAGGCGTGGGAAACAAAAATTCGAATTACAACAAAATGGTCAAAGAGGAGGCGAAAGATGATCTTCTTGTGTGCTCTTCCGTACACATGTCCTCAAACAGAAAATGACAAAAAAATTTTGATGAAAAAGAGGGGAAAAAGTTTTTGAAAGAAAAGAGAGATAGAAATGAGAGATATTTGAGAATATGTGGATGTTATAATATTAAATCAATGAAACAACAATGGTTGTCTATAGATTGTCAGCTTACATATGGAATGAGTTGACGGATGCTAACGAAAAATTTGATTTTGAAAAAAGAAACAGATTTGGATGAGACTGTTTGTGGAAGAAGAAAAAAATAGAATTAAAGACGCTTACCTGCGTGCACAGCCGGTCATGCAACCATTCATGTAAAGAGTGAAAACGTATTTCCAACGGTCACGGGAGCACGTGAGCGGCAAACCAAACTATGTTTCGAAAAGCAGTCTTTAGTCCCTTTAGACAAAGTAATCTTTGTGGTATTGCATGAAGTATTGAATGCACTTCTTTCATTTCATCATAACTCTCAGAACCTTATGTCTGTCGATGATTGGCGATGGGTTTTCAAATATTTTTCGAAGGAGACTTTGTTTTCTGTTTGTTTTTGTGTGAATTCTGTGTTGTTATTATGAAGAGAAGACGAAGACGAAAAAGTTTTTATTGGATGGCCGGACGTACAACAAAAATGAAGAAAATTATAATTTTGTTCGGGTTGAAGTTGTTAAAAAAGTAAATATGAAGGGGAAAGGAGATAATGCAGACAACAAGAGATGAAGGATTTTAGGTTGACGACATATTCTTGTAAATAAGGTGAGAAGAGAGAAAGAGATAGGTGAAGAGGATTCCGTAATTGGAAGAGGAAAAGAAAGAAAGAGAGAGAGAGGATGCTGGATGAACCGATTTCTGACCCAATTCACTTTCCCCCATGTTCAACTGTTTCTTTCCGCACTTCGCATGGAACTTTTCTATAAGTTTATATAATAACTGATTTTCTTATTTTTCTTTCATTTCCTTTCCTCTTTTCATCCTAAAACATCCTTCCTTTCAGAACAAATGAGGTTTTTTATTCTATGTCTCTCTTCTATATTTGTTTTAAATGTTTTGGCCGCCAAAAAATGTCCGAACGTACAAAAGGGTATGAGGTTTTGGCTCTGTGCCAACGTCTATAACGCCTTTTGCAGCCAATTGTTGTACAGTCAAAATTAATTTGGATTGTGGATTACCAAACAAATGTTTAAAATATGTGAACAAACATTGTCCTGATCGTAGAGCTGCAATTGCTAGGAGAAAGTCTCACGTGGAAGTGAGACGTTCCCCAGCCGATACGGTTAGACCTCTTCTATCGTTCCTACTACAAACTCACATGAAAACAAAACAAAAAAACATTTTGTATGGAAGATGCTTTTCTTCATTTCCTTTTTGTTTTTATCCCTAAATCCACAGTTTTTTATCATGTGTGACTGTCAATTGACATCAAATATTTAGGCCAAATGTGGAACTGCTGAGAAAAACTATCAACCTTGTACAACCAAATCTATAGCCAATAAGCTTTTTAATGCTTGTTGTCAACTATATGTTCCGGAAGAATGTCATTTCATGTGCAATTATGAAACAGATCAAACAAAAACCCGAAATATGGTTAGTTTTGTATTTTCGCGTTCAATGCGAACAGAAATAATTGTAGTTGGTGACTTTGGTCAAGGAAAAACAATGTCATCTGAAATATTTGTCGTCGATTCTTTATTGTGCTAGTCAGAATCGGGATAATCGCAAGTGTTGTGCCGATTTGGATTTGAATGCTCCTCAGCTGCAGGTGAATAGCGACTAACGGGAAATATAGAATAAGAAGTGTCTCTAGGTTGGTCCTCGATGTTTACGTATGTGTGATCCATCTGGAACAGCCATTGACAAAATCACGAAGGAAGATGTGACTTGTTTATATAATTGGAATGTGATTATGTATTGCCATCATGCTGGAATCAGAGAAATGTAACAAACAGAATTCTTCTATGATGGAGAGTATGCTCTCCTCTCTTCTGACACAATATATCTCATGTTACCTTAATGTTTTCTTTAATTTCTAGCTTTTCAGCTTAAATTCTCCATTCGATGGGTATGTTCGTTAAGAAATAAATGTTTTATAACAAAAAAATATCTCAATAGCATCGATATAAATCCCATAATTGATGTGATCAACTGTTACAACCCAAGTATTTCTCTTTCATCTCTCTTTAGCTCTCAATCATTTGGAGAAATAGAGGTAAATACCTTCATTCAAACAGGAGATAACAGACACTTATTGAAATTCTTTCCGTAATCATCCAAAAGCTTTTCAAATCAACAACTGACGATGTTAGAACTCAGATTAACGAAAGACATAAAGATTCGACTGCTGTTATCACAGAATAATCGGTTGATAACATTATTGCCAACAAAGCTTATCTCAGTTACCCTGCAGGTCACCCTTGACCAACCACTGTTCTTTCTAACATTGTTTTTTAAGTCTTTATTACGAAGAATCAGAAATGCCATATGTGGGCATTGGTGCTCAACCCGATTGTAAGTTAACCTTCTTCTTTGAGTACTCTGTTATGATATACTTCTTCAATCAATCGAATGTGTCTCAGCACATACGATTGAGCAGAAAACCTCATGTTCTCCAAGCATATATCAAATGATATATCTTTCTTCTTCTTGAAATGAAATTATCATTTCAGCCAAAACTTCTTTGGTTGGTAAACCTATGCTGAAGGTGTATGCTCTGATCCTTTTTTCCATTTTCCTTACATTTGGAATAGCCTTATTGGGAAAGTATCACAAAGATCATCCTACACCTGTGCAACGGTCCGTAACTATAAATGGTACTTTACATGATTTTATGATCAAACTATAACGCGAATATTCTTTGAAGATGTTCATGAATCCATCTCTAGCTATCTCATTGATGCCGTCAACGGCACCAAGATGAAGGAAAATCTCAGGTAACCATGGGCTCACTTCCCAAGGTTAGTTCATGTTCTAGACTTCTTACGAAGGAACCTCATCTTGCTGGCTCGGAAGCAAACAAGAAAGTAGCTTATAAGATCGCCAAGTTGTGGGCAGATGCTGGACTGGAAGATGTTCATTTCATTCCTTATGAAGTTCTTCTCTCTTATCCAAACGTCTCTTCTCTCAATAGAGTCATTTTGGATGATTCGAGAGGAAAAAACATTTTCACTTCATCTGGTATGAGTCCAGCAATTATTCAGGACGAACAAAAAGGAAAATGTAAGTATGAAAATTCAAATAAGTTGTTACAACTTCACTGAAGACGCTGGAGTTCAATGGCTTGCGTGGGCCGCTACTGGCAGAGTAACGGCTGATGTTGTTTATGTAAATCGTGGGAAGGAAGAAGACTTTGAAAACTTGAAGAATATGGGAGTAGATCCAGAAGTAGGGTGTACTGAAAATAAGAAAATATAAACTTTGTATTCAAGGGTAAAATAGCTCTGATGCGATATGGTGAAGGATTCAGAGGGGATAAGGTTCATATAGCTCAGAAATATGGTGCCGTTGGAGCCATCCTTTTCTCAGACCCCAGCGATGTTGCTCGTGAAGGAATTGATAAAGGTGAGGAGTGTTCAACATCATACTTCCTCCATTGTACACAGAAGATGAAAGACAAAATTAGGCTTAAGCCCCAAATACTGAATTACAAAATAACATCTCTATCTGATCTGATCGTTTAGCACACATTTATCCAAGGACTGTTTGGATGCCTGAAGAAGGAGTGCAAAGAGGTTCTACAATGCATGGTGACGGAGATCCTTTAACACCACTGTATCCAAGTAAAAAAGAATTGTTCTCTCAACGTACTATTGAGCAAGTAAGTTATACAACTAAGTGTTTGCACCCAACAATTATTACAGGCTAAGAAAGATGGTATCATTCCATCTATTCCAGTACTCCCGGTTTCCTATACTACTGCATGGCAAATTCTATCGAGAATGGCTGGTAGACCCGTACCGTTAAACTGGCAAGGTATAATCTTTCTATTGAATGTTTCAATTACTGAAGATATTTAGGCTTCATAAATGTCACCTATAGGGTTGGACCAGGTTTTCGAAACAAAGAGAAGCTCACTATTGATGTTAGTGGTTACCTCCAGAAAAAGTAAGAATTATCTGAGAGAATCGGTTCAATATCCTGTTTCTAAGAACGATAAGAAACGTAGTTGGATATATAAGAGGACATGATGAACCGGATCGTTATGTCATTCTCGGAAATCACTATGATGCTTGGGTTTATGGGGCAATGGATCCGAACAGTGGAACAGCCATGCTAGCCGAAGTCGCGAGAGCTATGATGCAGACTGTCAATCAAACAAATTGGCGTCCAGGTTGGATAATCTGAAAAAACTTAATTAAAAAGTTTACAGCGAGGACTATCATGTTCACTGCTTGGGATGCAGAAGAGTATGGACTAGTGGGTTCAACAGAGTTTGTAGAAGAATTTCACGACATTCTGAGAAAAAGGGCTGTTGTATACCTGAACATGGATTGTCTTCAGGGGAACTCAAGTTTGTCAGTATAGCCCTACTGTTCACCATATCATGTTTCTATCATTCAGACATGTTTTTACTATTCCTACTCTATATAAGGTAGCAATAGAAGTTTCGAAAAAGATTGCGAACCCAAATCCTAAAGAGGTAAGGATACGCATACTATTGAAAATCTTTTGCTAACTCAGAAAGCTAAAGGAAGGGAAACTTTGTTCGATTCGTGGGTTAAAACTTTCCCATCGGGTCAAGTTGGAGTACCCAAGATCCCTGTTCCTTCTGGAGGATCAGATCATGCCCCGTTTTTGAACTATGCAGGTAAGCATTTAGCTCTGTTCTTCAAAACAATTGTGGATCAGGTGTGCCGGTAATCGACTTCAACTTCAAAAACACCAGCACTTTCGATACTTATCCTCTTTACCATTCATTGTATGAAACACCATTCCTCAATGAGCATCTTCTGGACCCAAACAACTTTGTGGTACCTTAGACTTTTGATGACAATTTAATCATTTTTTTCAAAGATTCATAAAGCGCTAGGTCAATACTGGGCTGAACTTGCTCGAGTTTTTGTCGATGAAGCTGTTCTTCCTTTTAACTCTACCGAACTTGCAGCTACATTCATTAAGGAATACCTGCCTATACTAAGGAAAGAGCTCTCAGATTCATATTACTTCCCCAAAGCAATTGAACCAGCTAGGATTCAGCTGAATCTGTTGAGTAAAACTGCCCAAGTAAGAAAAAATTTTATCAAATGGTAAACACCTTTTTCAAGGATTTTTATGAAATCAGCAAGAAGTTTGAAGCTTCTGTCACCTGGGCACGAGCTGTGTTCTCACAGAACCCCTATGATAACAAGCAGATCACTGCAGTCAATGAAAGGATGATGAGGTATATTGAAAATTGTGTCTTGTTCGCACAAAATATTTTCAGCTTGGAGCGTTGTTTCATTAACCCTAGAGGGATCCCTGGAGCCCCCGCTTCACGTCATGTACTGTTCTCCGTCAGTGCGAAGGACAGTTATTCAAGCGCAGTGATGGCTGCTATAAGTGATGCCGTGAGTTAACACTTGAAAAAATGAAGTCATGTGGTTGTTTAAGGTTGACGCCTTCAAAAAGGCAGAAACAGATCTTGAGAGGATAGAACTAGGAAGAGAAGTAGCTCATCAGATTTCTATTGTTCAATTTTCAATTATATGTGCTATCAATACGTTGAGAGAGAACATATAGATATATTACTTACAAGTTGTGATCCTTTAAGACATTCCTTTTCTGTATGTACCGCATAATTTATGAAAAATGAATTTTGATCAAATATTCCCTTTAAATGAATCCATTTGAGGGCAACAGTTCTAATAAACTATCACAAATACAGAAAGTTCAATTAAGTACTGAAAATTATTTTTTTTGGAATTGTACGCAAATTGCGTAATTTCGAATGAGTACACGAAAATGTTCAAAATGTACTCAATGAGTACACGCGGTCGCGAGTGTGTTAAGTCTAGACGGAATAATCATGGTATATTGCCAAAGAATTTATAAATAGTTAATAAGAATCAGTCAATATGATTTATTTTTAAAGATATCATACCATCAATAAAATAGATCACGATTTAATAGACACCAAGCTTCTCTAATTCCGTTTTTTTTTCAGCGGATATTTCATACAAATCTATTTGTTGCACGAATTCCTTTGCAACCTCCAACGCATTGTTCAGATCGATGGTATCGTGATCATTCGTATAGAAAGAGTTATGACATCTGTAATGAGAAATACAAATGACAATAAATCATATTTAAGAACTTACTGCTCAAAAACGGAAAATTGCTTTCCAATGTCCATTGACAGAGCCCATGCAAATCTTCGTTTTGACTTGTGGGAACGATGCTCAACATTTATGTTGTGTTTATTAATAAACTCTGAAAATGAAAACATTAGATAAATACCGAGAAATTCAAAATTATTTCCTTGAATCAAAACGAATGCTAACCCGTAGTTACCGTCTTGCTTCTTTCCATTTTCCATTTGGTGGTCTTTATTCGTGCCCCTCGGCGCACGTGAAAAACGTGTGAAAGCCGTGAAAACGTGTGAAAGCCGTGAAAACGTGTGAAAGCCGTGAAAAGAGCCTGAGGACCATTTTTTTCAAATTGATGCTATTATCGATTAAACTTGAGAGCTTTATAAAAGAAAAACATTTATTAGTATGTTCTTAAAGCATTTTGGAAACATAAATGCACAAATGGGATAACGAGTTTACCTGTTTACCATATGGACTATTTGGATTTTCTTTGCAAACGTTGAGAGAAATGGCAAGATAAAAAGAGAAAAACACAAAATTTACAAAAAAAAACTCGAAAGAACAAATTATTCCTGCAATCGTCATGACTTTTGAGCAATAAGAAGAGTTTCATCCAAATATGGTCATGTAAAGTGACTTCTAAGGGTCCAAAGACTGCATAAGAAAGTGAATTATCGTTGTTTTTCATTTTTGATTTATAAAATTAATTCCTATGGTGAATCGTCAGTTGAAGTTAGAAGCGATGACGTTGTGTCTTTTTCTGATGAGTTTGAAGATGAATTCTCGAACAGCAAAGGAACATCTAAGGCGGGTTTTTCTTTTATCACATCAGGTTTTCCTTCAATCATAACTGTCATTGAATCATGTTCAACAACGTTGTGATAAGGGTTTTCTTAAAATAAATTTTTTTGCAACCGATCTGTGCGTCTGCACTCACCCAAGATATAAAAACTTCTGCTGAACATGGCCAAGATAGTTGGAAGTATGAACAATCCAAATAAAGCTCCATATGCAACAAGGAAGAAAACAGTAACAACAAAGACCTAAGAGAGGTGATTCTGACGTAAGACGATATTCTGAATTACCCGAGGTGTGTAATCACTATGCCATGCTGGTGGAACGAAACAAGCTACTGTTGAAGCTGCTGACTCCAGCATTGCTATACCCACAGCATCAAAAGTGCGTTCCAGAACTTCTTGTGTCGTAGTAACACTGAAATAAGATCTCACCTATGGTTTAAATACTTCTCTTTAATTACCTGCTTGATCTAGACCATGCACTTTGGAAATGAAAAGAAATATGAGCGGTAAAATCAACGCTAAATCCTATTGACATCAATATTGAGGCTTGAGTCACAGGATCTAAATTGAATCCTGTCCAATGAAGGAAACCTATCACACCTATAACGATTCAAATAGTTATAGTAATCGAGTAATATAAACGCACATATACTGATATTGAGTATAGCAAAAGCAGCGAACATAACGCTGACAATTGATGGAATGAAGATTAAGCATACAATTATCATCGAGAATAGGGTGAGAAGTGTTGCCATTATGGTCTGTCGAGGAATTCCATGAATACCTGTTGAGAGACCTTTCATCAATGAAATCCTATTCAAACTACCTTCGAACACTGCAGAATTTTCCGAGAAAACAGTGACGTTGAATCGTTTCCATTTTTCTGCTACATCCCTCCAGCTGAAAACATGAACATCACGACTTGAAATACAACCAATCTTACTGAAGCATATTTGAAGCTCTTTCTTCCCAAGTAGTTCCATTATGAATTCCTGTCATGAAATGAAAACTATCAACAACAGTGTCTCCTCTGCAATAAGGAACAAATGTTCAATGTTCTCAATATGATATCAAATACTTCTGATTTCTATGCCAGTGAACGAAGTTGCTCCAAATATGTCTAGCAGGAGTCTCTTCAAGGAAATGACTTAATTCATCATATGATAGTGGGAAATCTCCCCAAAGATTGTGGAAATCATACAATGGTTGATAAGCCTGCAAGAAGAGCTTCAATTCAGCAGATATGAGATTTCAGAACCTTTTCATAGTCAGTTAACCACAGAACAGTTGATTTGTTACCGATGGATCTCGGCATAGTTTCGAAATCGTTGATCATCGCTTTCAGATCACTTAATGTTTCCTGATTCAGGGTAGCTGGCGGGTTGTTAACGTATATATACAAAGGTTCATACTCCTGCAATGGTAATGTTGTTCAAGAAAGCGATGTCGAATCAAACTCACTTTCCAATAGTATTCTCGGAACAGACGATCAGCTTCCAATAAAACAGAGTCCTTTGGAATAATTTTCTGAGAATTTATCTGTATTTCAATCGTTACAGCTTGATATAAGCTGAAAATGAAGAAGAGCAGTGTTGCCGTCACAACGCATATCCGAGTAGTTGATCTAGTTAGGAGATGAGAATACCAACGTATTATTGACTTTTTCATTTTTGTCATGTTTTCTCTCAAAGGTTCAGTGCTGGGGCAACTCTACAAATTCGAACTGTTCATAAAAGTAATAAAGTAAGCAGCTTTACCTTATAACACCGACCACTGAGCACTAGCATACTTCCAAACAATATTATCTCCAGAATATAGTCGAAAATGATTGCAACTGTGGCTGATAAACAGAAAACCTTCAAAAAATTGAAGAAATTAGAAGAAGAAAGAGAATGACCAAACCTGAACAGCAGGAGAATCTGTTAACATCCCTATCCCGAAGGCAATAGCGTTTGTTAAAGATGTTATTGTAATAGAAGGTCCTACTGATTCCAACACCTTGATAATAAATATGATATTCTAATTTCCTCAATAACACTTACTTTAGAAAAGATTAGGGCAACCACGGTATGTCCTTTACCGCCTTCTGTAGTTCTATATTCTTCTTGAATTGCAATAAAAGCTCCATTCATAAGGAAAGCATCGTCTACTCCTGAATAGTAAAGGATAGATGTTTAACTATGCGGCTCACGAACCGATTGCCAAAATAAGAAAAGGGATAACCATAATGGTTGGGTACATATCAACTTCTAGAATTCCATGAATAAAACCGAAAGTCATTATGATGGCGATCATTGGAGAGGCAATCATTCCTTAAACATCATTGTAATTCGGAAAGATGGGTAACTGAACCTATGACAACGAAAGTCCATCCAAAGTCCTTCCTTCCAGCCGCGAAGAATGTGAAAATGATTATTATGAGAACGAATATGATGGTAACAGCTATTCCAAAAGCCAAGTAATCAAGAAGAGATAAACCGCCTCGAATCATTTCCTGTCCCAAAATCTGAACCAAAAATAAGAATCAACGAGGAAAGATGTATCTTGCCTTATCCCCCATTACGTCAATCCTAAACTGTTGGAACTCTCGATTCTCACTGTAAGCCCATTTGAAAACAGCTGATTCCCATTTCGTTATGATGTTAGTTGTATTATCATCTGGGATCGGAGCAGAAAAGTACATTGATATCATTTTGACTTCTTTGATCCCCGTTCGATTGCTGTGATCCTGAAAAACAAAGTTTCAGTGTACAGTTCATAGATCTGAGTGATTCATACTGGGAATGAATTGATACTATTGTAAGGTACATGAACGGCTTGCCCTAAATTTCCTTCTAATTCCGTTTCTTCTGATTTCGACTTTCGGGTAATTCCTTAAAGACGATTGACGGTAAGAAAAAAAAAGTTGAAAGGAGAAACTAACCAAAAGCATGTGGTGCAATTAGTATTGGATATCCAAACAGTCGAGACTGAGGATGATCCAAGTAAACATTTGAATTGTTATAAACGCCATCAAGACAATTCTATGTGACAATATGAATTAGCATAATCCAATTTCAAACTCACTATCAATTGCCACAATAAAATATTAATATTTGTATATTTTCCCTGTAAACCCGTATGGACATAACTTGTTCCATCAATCGTTACACTGATATTGTTAACTATATGATCATGTAACTATAAATTATATAATAAATAGTTATTATTGAGATACTTCATTACATCCTTCAGTCTAGTGTAGTAATTCCGATCCAATATGTTTCCACCATCTGCACGACGAACCAAAATAACAAAATGTTGAACTTTACTTGTTTGTTCTCCATCGAATTCTGCCTTAAATATATTCAATTGTATTTTTTATTTTTCATTCACCATCATTCTTAACTCGCAACTAATACTTTGTGTTCCTGCTTTCTAAAATACAACAAATCAACCGCTCCCTCAGCTCTCAATTTCAAAATAATCTCTCGCGCCACTCATCTCACGTGTTTGTTTATGCTAATTTCGGGGTCTCTATATCATATGGGATTCAAAATTGAATTTTTCGCCACCGAATTGTTTCAAATAGGAAGAAAGTTTTTATTTATAGAATAAAAAAATGTTTACCTTAACGGCTTGTTCAACCCGTGCCATAGAAGTCTTCGCCACAAATCCGTCCTTAAGAGAGGAGGAGATGAACTGAGAGATCTTGGAACTCAACACTTACCTGCAGATTTTGAGCGAACCGAATGTTATAGCATCCGATAGATAATAACGATAAAACTAAAGATATGCAGATGAATAATGCAGGATTGGATCCTATGAAGAGCCCAAGCCGACGAAACCTATCTTGAATGTGATTTTCGAGAAAATCTGAAACAGCATGTTCGAGAAGTCAGATTGAAGTTGTACGTTACTTATGTGCCTATTTTGCAGAAAAAACGTAATTTGGTACAATTTGAACTTGCATGATCTCGGTCGAGCCCGTCGAGGGGCCACCGACATCTCTTTGGTCTGCAAGAAAAGAAAGTTTGGAAAAACAATTGTCATATAGAACGAGCGCGTAAGATAACACGAAGAGAACGGAAAAGGAGAGTACGGGAGAACCAAGTGATGGGAAGGATTGGTTGAGCGAATAGTTATTGGTCATTTCTTTGATAATAAAGAATTCAGAATACAATAGAAGTTTGCAAAAGAAATGAAAAAAGAAAAGTTGTTGGACGATGATCGTCTGACGAGCAGAAGAATTCAGTAACGTCCTTAGCAACGAGCCAATGAAAAGAATCTTCAGTGTAAAAACATCAAGTTCACAAGGATTATAAGATTAATTACCATTTAGAGAGCTAGGAGTATTCGAATAAACAGACGCCTTCATGAAGAAAGAGATATTCTCATCAGAACTCTCACTTATCAGAGATGAGTGTTGATTAATTGAACCATCAGAGAAGAATAGAATAAAATACACACAGAATTCATGAAACAACTAATTTCCTCGTCATCAATCACAGATCACATCCCTCCCCCATTTTCAGACCATTCGTAGAGGAGGACGGACATTTTGCCAAAGACTACAACGTCACAAATGATTTCGACAGTTCTGATGAAGATGAGAACGACCGCCTTCCTAAACGTCAATAGACTGTAATTTCAGTCATCAATCAGAGTGTTAAAGAAGAAAAAAAACGTTGATAAAGTCGGCTACCGTTGGCGACGTTCTAATGTGTGTGTGGCCTCTTCGGAGAATTGATAAAACGGTCTAATAATGTCATCTGAATGCTTTTACCCTGAACATCAACGAACAAATGAAATGAAGGTGCTAGGATGGGAAAGAAGATGATTAGCCAAACAGAGGTCAAAAGGTGCCAACTTTCATATAATGGCTTAAGAGGGAGTGTTGCCACTCAAAAGTTTAAGAAGACAATGCTGGTGACAGGTCATTTGAGGTCAGTAAAGTGAGTAGAAAGAGAGAAGGGAGAAGACAGAGTGCAGTCAAAATATAAAGAGGTAAGACAGCTGATAAGATGATATGCACCTGTCTCTTCCCATCACTCTTGAACATACTTTGACCACTTACAAACCTGTTCACTTTGTTTCAAACGCTGCCTTCAAGAAAAGTTTGATTACTTCCTTCCAAAAACTCTATCGAAGAGAAATATAACCAAGGTTTTATCCATTTTCATCATTTTTTTTCAAAAAATGGAAAGATGAGGTGGTTATGAATGTTTTCAAATGCTGATTCTGACAATTCTGATGGAAGAAATGAAAAATGATAACCATAAACGAAAATTTGAATGCGAGTAAGGGAGAAGTTCACAGTGTACTTCGTTCCTTATCGGAAAAAAAGCAGAAACTTTGATTTATCTCTAAAAACAACAGATAATTCGAAAAGTATTGGAGAGCAGGAGATGCAAAGAAGAGAGAAGTAATCTCTTCAGAATGGCCACTACAAGGAGAGAGAGAGAGAGACAAAGAGGAGAATTTGCTCTCCTATTTTGGTAATTAACCATTTTTGTTGCTCAGTTGCTGGGGATTTATATGGATTTAAGGGAAAAATTCGGTCTATGGCGAAGAAATAACATTTCTTCGCGACAAGCAAAACGAAAAACGCTTCAAGAGGACAAGAGAGGGGAAAGTTGGTATGTGTTCATTGTATGGATGAAAACATGTTAATAAATCAAAAAGGCGAGGAAAAAGTATCAAAGTCGGTAAATTTCGAAGAAAATTGGTGCGAAACATAAACAAAAACAAAAGACGAACAAGAAAATTTAAAAAAAAAAGAAAAAATGTTGTTTAGACTTGCATATCGAAAAGCATTGTGTCTGATTAGGTTTGAAGACAAGCTGTATCATCGTAAAAACAACATATTGATGATGATTGTCAGTCGTTCTTTATCTTTTTCTCCGAATGCAACAAAACTAATTTGACCTGTCAATTTGAGCTTTCAACGTCTATGATGTCTGGGCGAAAGCGTTATGAATGGTCAGATTGTTCTTTCATGCTTATGCAACGGATATTAGCTGTCGTTGCTAGCGAGCCGTAACTTTTCTGCTGCTTAGAGAAAGATCATTCTTTGAGAATTCTTTTTTAATTCATATTCAACTGTAACATGAATGCAACCGGTGCGCAATGAGTTGCATTTGAAAATGAGAACAAGAAACACGTGGCAACCATCCTCTTAAAGTATGCAAATGAAGTCTGAAGAGAAGCTAAGTGGATGGATATGATACATTCATTCATCTCTCTCTCTCTCTCTCTCACTCTCTCTCTATATATACACATTTATATATTTTTTGATTGAAAAACGGTTTAGAAAAGATGAAAACAAGTAAAAAAAGCCTCAAATCTGGAACATCATGGAGAAACAAACACAAAATATGTCTTTATGAAGTTTTTGTTCGCGTTTCAAACAACTAAACATTCGTTTGCAATAGATGGAAAGTGAGAATTTGATAAATGAAAGTTGACTGTCCATCAGAATAATCGTTTTTTCGACACAAAGTTAAAAGATTTACAATAAACGAAGGGTTATCAGCTCAGAAACAATAGACACAATAGCTTTATGAGGGAGAAGCACTCGTTTTCCTTTTGATAAAAGAAGGATTAGAAAATCTTTTTTTTTTAAAAACAAGGAAAAGTACATGAAATAGAAGGATATTAATGAATAAAAGATAAGTTGTCAAAAACAGAATCCTTCTTCCAAAAAAGGTTAACGCAAAGAAGAGAAATTGAGGAAAGAAGCTTAAAAAATTGAAAAAAGTGCAAATTTGATTGGAAGCAAATGAAATTGTGAGTCAAAAATGACGAACGTATGACCATATGGAAAACAGATTGACATGAACAAAACAAACAAATTTCAGGAGAACCTAATTGCAGGTGTTGGATGTAAGATGATCTATGAAAATGACCTACGAGCATGTACCTCATGTTTCCAAAAAAATCAAAAACTTCATTGACCAAAGTCTATTTAGGCAAATTATGAGTGGCTGGTTTTCAGATGACCAGTTGTCATGTTGTTTAACCTTTTGTTCAGAAAAGAATAAAACAAATTGCTATGGAAAGTTATATAGAAACAGAGAAAGAGAGAGAATGTGAGAGAAGATGCGTAACACAACCGTTCAATCTGTCTGCAAACGTGAAAATGAGAGTCAGTTCCCGTGACTTCATATACGATGAACACGTGAAAATTAAAATAAACGGGGGTGGAGGAGAAGAATGATGGACCTTGTTTCAAGAAGAAAAAAAGTTTTCGACCGGTCGATAACGACTATGATTACAAAAAAAGAGGAATTTGTTGAAATTTGTGGTAAAATGAAAGTAAAACTCAATATACTTGAATGAACTTTCAAAAAGGGAAAGTTCATTGGGGTTCAATGAGGTTTGGTCACGTGGTCCTCATCACATGTCTATCTAATGGAACAAAAGAAATAGTGTGAAGTGTATTTGGAAAATATCAAATAAACACTCTAATATGCTCATTAATCCAATGCAACAAAGGAAATCTTTGAAGGAATCTCCAATTACAACTTCATGTGTAGTGTGTTGTTTCTCTAGCCATCAATCAATATCTTATTCTAAAAATGGAAAAGAAATATACTAAAAAAGTCTTATTGATGAAGATTTGAGACGACGAGAGATGCTGACGAGCGTCGGGAAAAATATAATAAATTCACGAACAATTTTCAAATCACGAATTCAGTAAAGACTTCATAGCTCAGTGAATTTGGTAGTTTCAGAAGATTTCTGATAAATTTGAGATAAAAGAGAGGAAAGGGTGGGAGAGTGTATAGTTTGATGAAGAACTTTATCAAGTCAAGAAGCAAATTGTTTTTTCTATATACAAGGCAAGGAAGAGAAATATTTTTGTTTGTTTCATTAAGAAGGAGAGAATGAAGAAGTCGAGAAGGAAAAAAAAAGGAAAAATTAAAAAAGAGCTCAGCTTATAGCTTGTTGCCATGAATGTTGGAAAGCATAGAATAGAGACTACTTGAGGCATGAAGCCAAAAATGATATCAAAGACAACGAAAGAGAGGATGGACATCGAGGAAGCTCTTTTTCAAGAAGCTTTTGCTGACCCTCATGTCAGCTGGCTGCTCAATTTAACAGAGGAAAGTTCGTAATGAATCAGAAAAAGCTGTAAGGATATGTTGAAAGTGAAGATTAGGTGAAGATCAATCTTAATTTGTGTTTAATCTGTAAACTACAACAATCAATGGAATGCAAAGCTCAGAGGTTCCTAATGTTTCAGCTTTCATAACTTTTCCAGCAAATGGAAGTGTTAGTAGGACGAACGCTATTGAAAGCACAGCTTGTCTCGTTCATGCAAATGAACATAGCCACAAATGGACAACAAGATGAAAAGCAAGTACAGAGGAAGATACAGCCAAGGAGATCACGAGCGAATAGAAAGGGAGGCTAGAGGACTGGCTAGTTGACGGCAAATGTGTCCATCTCTCTCTCTCTTTCTCTTTCCCTCTGTCTCTCTCTCTCTCTCTCCTTCTCTCTGTATGGCTTTCTTTTCTAACAACTTTCTATATCTTCTTTCGATGGGTCGTTATTTCAACTAGCGATTCCTTTCTTTCTGTTTATAATTTGTTCTTCTTACTTTGCTTTCGCTGCCCCTCTCTCAACCATTTCACGCTTTTCTACACTTCCCTTCTTATGCCAGGTTTCCCTCCCCTATTTTCTCATGCTTCTCACCTCATAGAAGATGCTTCTTATTACTTTCTCTTACTAACTGCGATTAGAACGTCTCACTTCTTTTTCCATTCATCCACATCAGCAAAACTTCTTTTTCGAAAGAAAAATTGGACAAACCATTTGCACCATCATACGTCCTTTCTGTGTGTTTACTCCCTCAGCCCCCCCCCCCCCCCCACCCCCACACGCCCCTGCCACCACCCCCCCACCCCCTCGGCG